GGAATGCCGTAGCGCAGATTTTAAGCCAATCTTTCCATATTAGGAATGAAAACATATTAAGATGAAATGGAGAGATAGATTTCAAAAATGTACTTAGGGATCATTCTCTATTAAATTATAGACAGTTATGAGAATTATTTCTGAAAGCCTACTTGATTCTTAGCATTTTTTTAAACTTTCTGTACAGGAATACAGTGTAAGAACTATACTTAAAGTTGAAAATCATCTTCACCCTGTGTTACAATAAATTCTGCCTTTCTACTTTTCTGCTCATTTTGGATGAGACTTCAATTCTAGAGAGCTTGAGGTTCATCAGCTCTTTATGTGCAACTGTCTTCTCCTCTCCAACTTGAGCCCAAAGCAGTTGTGGTTTCTGCACCCTGTCAGATGTAACTTTAGTGCTAATTTGGGAAAAGCAGTTCTCACATTTAGTGCTGAAAGACTGATAACCGAATCCACAAAGGAATGACACATTTTCAGCGATGAAGTACAGGAGCTGTGGACAATGGCTGTGCTTTCCCACTGCATAAATCCTCCTGACTCAGCTGTCACTGCAAATCTACTGCACAAAAGCAGATTTTTCTTGCATGATTGGTCTTTATGTCATCATGACTATCATAACAGAAGTCGGTGTTGTGTTATCTTTAACATATTATTACTCTACCAGGTACGAAGACAGATGGATACGTCTGTAACCCTTGTGCTTTACTGTCTCTTGAAGACCAGAAATCTTGTCTATTATTATAATAAAATAAGCCAGTGAACAATATTTCTGGCTAACTGGGCAAGCATGAACTGTAGAACTGAAATGTGATAGACCTGAATCTGTCCTCACTGTAGTCCATATGAATTTTGACAAAACTAAATTTAACAGGACAAAAATCAGATTCACACAGCTTATCATATTAAGATACAGATTCATACAACTCATCATATACACATTTATCTGATACATATATCCAGTGCATATATCATATATACAGTTGTTTATCCAACTTGTAATATTATGTTTTAATTATGAGTCAGGGATTGGTTTTGTTACGGATTGTATACATAGCTAATATGATAACCAGTATGCTACAAAAAGTTCCTGACTGTAGCTAATAAGAAACTGTATTGCTAAAACATAATCTGCTCTTACACATTAAAATTTGCATGAGCAGTTCGCACTGAATTGCAAAACCACATAAGAAAACCTGGACATCAGCACAGACATAAATAATGTGGCTAGGAGTGAAAAATACATAAGAACAAAATACTTTGTGAATTCAGAAGCAGAAGTGCAGATACAAGCAGTGTGTACAGTAAGAGTAGCTAGTCAACTCCTCAAAAATTAAAATACAAATTAACTTGAATAACTACAGTTAGCATTACTGGCTTACTTAAATCAAATATCAGCTTTTTCAAAAAATGAATTCCCATTTCCAAAATGCTTGTATCCTTGTATAGCTAAAGCCAAGTGTAATTCCATTTAAGTTATTGGAATTTTGACTTCAGTAAAACTTGGACAGAGTACTCACATGTATTTTAAAATATTTTTGTACATGAAGCCAAAACCAAATATTTTCTGAAACTATCCCTCTCTCCCCATATATGCAAACAATCAACTACAGGCCTGATTAGTAATATCCATGCAATAATGTAAGCTATTTTGCCTTTTTAAACTATTGAGTATTTTGAAATCAACAGTTTGGAATCCTGAGGACCATTTCCAGTTTTTCTAAACTATTGGCAACTCTGGCTTGCTCGGGAAGCTCTGCTGATTCACTTTCTGCTGGACTTTGGTGGCCAGTGTCAGATTCCCTTCAATCCAGCCAAAAATGAAAGCCTGTACAAGGCACAGTCCTGCCCAAGGCTCTGTAGCTACTTTGTGTTGATGTGTGGCTGATGCCTGCACAAGACTTGAGCTTCTTTCCAACTTGCACCCTACAGCAATCTGCTCCTGTGGCATGACTGCATTAGCTGTAGTTTCTGTGTATGTTTGAAATTTAATCACACTCCACAAATCTCATTGTAACTAAACCAAAAATGCTTCTTTATAAATCACTTTTGATTAGTTTAACTGGTATAAGACAAAATTCTGCTCCAAATAAAAATGTAATGTATATGTCACAGATGTTACTGGAATGAAGCTGTGTGCTAGTCTTTAATGGCTAGATGAATGTAACTGAATAAATGTACATTTTACATACCATTTAGCCACCGGGAGTCATGCTGCTCTGTTCTGATTGGATGATGATGCCCCAGCGTTCGGAAAATGGCAAAGTCCCTGCCCATGAAGTCTGCCGCTGTGCCAGAGTACAGCTCTCCGTCTGTGGGAGGACATAATTGTAAGCAACATTTCTTAATTTTCCAGTCATGGTAAGTCAGAGAAAGCTGTCAGTCCAATGTTTATATTACGCTAATAGGGATAATGAGAAAATCGCAAAGCAATAACCCATATGCAATGCATTGTCATTGAAAATATATAATTAGACCCACTTTCTCACTGCAAAGCTTAACTGTAATCTCTCTCAAATAAACTATATCTCCCGACCGCTAGAGCAGCCACTTTCAAAAATGTGTTTGGATTCTTAGGCTAGAACAGTCACAGCTTGTACACCTATCACTGTCAGGCAGTGGTATGCAGCCCCCAAAAAACCTACTCAACTTTTAATTTACCCTGTTTTGAACAGGAGTTTGGACTGGAGACCTAGTGGCATTTTGTGGCTCTCTGCTGGGAATTGAAGAGTCCAGCTTCTTCACTCTTAGCTCAGAAAGTCATCAAGTCCCATGAATTTTTCATATAGAAACTGTCTTTTGGTTGATCTCTGGTTTTGTTTTGTTCCCCCCCTTCTTTTTCTTCTGAGCAAGCAAATCCGCTCAAAACAGTATCTTCTACAGGAAAGACAGAACATGCCTTTCTCCTTCTGCCACCTCAGTCTGTAACTGCGGTACTGGCAAAGGGCAACAGCCAAGGGAGAGAATATATGAGATCATTCCCTGCTCCCTTGACCCCATACATATCACAGTGAACAAGCGAATTAGAAATTGACCTGTGATACTTCAGCCTATAAATGGTACACACATAGCCTAGCTGGAGGAGAAACTCCTAATATTAGAGTCCCAGTGTGCCCGTGCTCAGCCAGCTAGAAGTATCACAGAGGAGGTGGAGAGAGACACAGTCTAAAGTCAAAGGACCAGGTCAAGTCAAATACCTTCCTACTGGTATAGAGAATAATAATAATAATAATAAGTACATAGCAATCAGACCCACAAAAAAGAACCAGTGATCAAAGAACACCACTTATCTTTCTGGCATTAATGTAGAGCTCATCCATGAAATTACTTTGAATTCAAAGTGTTAAAAACATTTTTTTTTAGTACTGTGCCCTTTTAAACCCATATGTGAAATGAGATACCCTACCCTGTATTTTTAAAAAGGAATTAAAAAATATTATTTCTTCCAACTGCTATTTTCAAGCTACCCATCTTAAATAGGTCCTCTGTGAAAGAGACAAGCTTGAGGATAAAATAACTCTTTCTTTAAGCTAAGGCAATAAATTTTTCATGGTCATGATGAACTCTACCATATCCTCATTTTAAAACACCCTGTAGGAACAAGTTCATCATTTTCATGGCAATTTTAGCTATTTCCATGGTGGGACAACCATGTCCAAGCATGCCTACTGGATATCACTGGCATCTTTTCCTCTGAACACTGACACCATGAAATTGTCAGTTGAACCTACAGTGGCTCTGTACCATATGGTAGTCATGAAAGTCAGGAAGGGTGAAAACATGATAGCAGAAAGGCGTGGAATTGAATGAATTCACAGCAGAGATTAGAAACAAATAGACCAGTCGTGCCCAGCAGGAGGTATAATCAGAAGTGAAACAGAACAGCATATCATTAATTAACAATTTATCATTCCTCTATGTCATTTTCAACTTTTTATAAAGGGAGACAATCACTTAATTATAGTGATTATTATGTACAGGGTATGCAGCTGAGATTTTAAAGAACATAAAACCTTTTCACTTGCGAAAAGGTCTTTGATGCTATGCTTAACCTTTCTTTAACCTTACCTTCATTTTCTTGTCTTTCAGTCCCTAGTGAGTTCTGCCAAATCAATATAAATCAAAGAGGGAAAAAAAAAAACAAGCAGCCCTATTTTGCTTCCTAGTTATGAACAGATCTAAAGGTCAATCAAGAAGGAAAAAAATTCTATTTTTAATACTACATTATTAAAATTAAAACAAACATATCTCCAAAATGCATTAAAATTATATATTGCGGGATTTAGAACTGTGAGGATTTTTGGCATCTCAACTTCTAACTCAATATATAAACACCTCTGAAAGTAACACATCTTCCAGGTTTGACTCTGTTCAGCCCGAGACTTTTTCATGCTACTAGGCTCTTGTGGCTGGTACTTTTTCATCAGTGGTGATAAAGTTTTGCCAGCAATGGGCTTCAGCATGTTCCAAAGGCAGAGGGGTCTGTAGGAAACCTGCCGACCTTTCCTTGTTTTCTACTACAGCCCCTCCAAGTTTCAGTATACTTAGACCAGTGCCTGCAGTTTGAACTGATTTGTTGTAGTCACGCAAAAAGAGGCTATTGACTTTTCTCACGTAGAAATACCAAGAATACTATTTATTTCTGTAAAGCTTTAGATAATTTTTTCTAAATTCAGGGTGAGTCTCAAATCATGTCCCAGATGGGCACATCGTTTGAGTCAGTACTATTCAAAAGCTATATAAGGATTTTTGCCTAGATTTTTTCTCTCGACAGAAGTACATTCATGTTTGTTTCCCTATTGCAGACCTTCTTTTGAACTGAAATTTACTCATTGCTGGTCTAGAAAATTATTTTTATGTCACTGATAGTCTTCACTGTGCTATTTCCATTGTCAGTAGTTTTAAATGTATTTTTCATTACTTTAAGAAAGTGGAAATGAACAGTTTGAAAACTGGGGAAAGAATGAAGAAAAAAAAGAAAAAAAAGTTGTCACTTTGTATATCCAGCCCAGTAGCATAAAGCAACGACTGTCCAAAATGAGCTGATGGCCTTCAGATGTTCGCACAGGAAACATGGGAGGAACCATTTTCCCACATACTGTACACAAGCAGCATGAAATTGTGAACACTGCACCAAGTTCATTAGATACAAAGATGTTAAAAACTAAGCAGTATACATTTATTAGCTGAATTATTTCTATTCAGCTTTCAAAGAAGACAGCTTTCTTAAAAAATCGGAGAGTGCTTTTGGGGAATAGAGAAGTGTAAGCTTCTTTTTTGAAAGAAATAACAAAGTTGAATGGATGGGAAATATAGTCAAAACAAAGCCTTGAACGTCCTGCTTCTTCTCACTGGTAAACGGGCTCCCAGATGAAATCTGCTATCCTTGGTTAGTAGGTTTAGTCACTAAAGTTAAGATTTTCAGACATACATAGTATAGTGGTTTGACTCCAGTCCTTTTAAAGTCAACAATCAGAACTCCCAGAAAGCAGAATAACTCTAAAATCCTGAACCAGATATGTACTTAGTAGCTAATTTCTAGTAAATAAGATAGTAAAGTTCTTCCTTGGTATGAAGCCACTGTATTTCAGATCACATTGATCCATACCTGGGAGTATTCAGACATTTTAACTGATTTTTTTTTTTTTTTTTTAAATAGGTTTTATTTTTTTTCTTTTTGTTTTGTTTTTTTAATAAATATCACTGAGATATAGGAACATAAACAGCTTTGAGGATTCTGGATCATCAGAGCTTTTGAAAATCCCAAAGGGTCATTTCCTAAACACTGATAATGGGACAATGCTGTCTCCTTCTCTGAGGTTTTTTCAACTATCCCAATACAATTGCTTTAGACTAATACATTCAGTGATAATTTTCTCCTGTGATTACATTCTTTGAAAACCATGCTGCCTCTCATTTTCCTTCCTCCCTGGAATACACACTAATGCTGCCCAGGGACTGCTTAGTCTCTACATTTTCATGCATTAGCCTGCTCAAATGGAGATTGTTTAGTTAGCAGCACATAGATGGGAATGGCTGAGTAATGTCTTACATTACTAGGAACTAGTTATATCATGTTCCCAGCTGGTGTTTACTTTAGAGTAGAGTAGCAATAACTACCTTTAATGAACTACTCTTAAAAAAATAATGAAAAATGTTTGCAGGTGGATGGAACAAGGAACATATATTAGAAAAAATATTGGAACAATTTAATAATGATGAACCGTTTGTTTTGGTTTTGGTGGGTTTTTTTTACATATGTTATTGTTTTTTTTAGGAGAGAGGGAAAACTGAAGATCCTTTTTACACTTATTAGAGTTTATTTCAGCTGAAATATAAAATAAGAATCCTGGGCATTAATGTCTGTAAAAGATCTTTAGTTACTTTTTGCAAATTAACCTTGGTGTTTTTCCCAAATTCCAGCTTGGGTAATTACATTTCACTTACCTAAGATTTACCGTCTCGTTATGGAGTCTAGAATATACTCTCTTCCACACTTTGCAAAATCTCTCTTTAGTGTTTCTGATGAAGAACAGAGGTTATTTTTCCCTCCCGTATTTAATCATATAAATTTCTCTTACTTCTCAGCCTTCTTTTATTTTTCTGAGAGTTACATTGTGTTACTAATTACAACACTGCATTTTAATGAGTGCTGGGCAATTGTTTTACACAGTTGCCCTCTTGAACGTAAGCTAAATCATGGTTGTTTGTGAGGACAAACACTTCTGGCACACGAGGGGCCAGGAGCAGCTGAGCTAGCATTCAGCTCAGGAGAAAGGAAGAAACAGTCCATCCATGTTGTTCTTCATGTGAGGCATTTGCAGTCAAGAGGTTCCTCTGGTCTTCATAGCCCTGTTCACTGCTTCACTCCAGTGCTACCTACTGCAGAGAGCAGCTGGACCAAACGTCTCCATGCAGTCTTTGTTTGGCCAGTTCATTCCCTGTTCCTCACCTACTTCGAGGAGAGGAAATTATTTTGCCTCAGGTCACCATTTTACCATAAAATTTATGCTTTTTTGGCAAAGATAAGAGTGAGTCACCACAAATCAGTGATGAAACTGGTGTACACTTTCTGAAATATCAGGGGAACCTCCGCAGTAAAGGACTGAAGTAGACATAACATTATAATCAGTAACACAGTATAACTGTGAGGTAGCTACGAGGAGGCAGAGAAGAAAGGGTGTTCGTGTTCAGGATGCGGGACTGTTAATTTCAGCTTCACCCTGTATTTTGAGTAAGTCACTGAAGTAGAAATTAGTCACTGGCTTTGAATGTTGAATTTGCGCCATTTTCTGTAGTGTTAATACACCCATGGCTCTAACTGAAGCCTGATTCAAAACAAAATATCATGCTCAGTCCACTGTTTATTAGGAGGAAAAATACATAGAGAGAAAACTGTAGTGACAGAGAGTGGGCTCAAGAAAGCAAAGATGTTTTAAAGACATGTAATCTAAGCCAAGGGAAATAAGATAATCATATTTGTGCCGAACTGGGTGGAAAAAAAAAAAAAAAAGAATGTGAAAAGCTAGATGCTGTTGACTTTGTGCAGTTGCATACCGGGTATACCATGTAATACTGGTTTGTCATCATTCTCTTTCTTTATTGTATATTAAAGTAAATAGTAAAGCCATTCCCTTGAGAGTAGTTCTGCCACAAATTCAAGCTGCTCTAGGCACTAATTTATACACTGGCCTTTTACACACACATTTTTTCCCTTTCTGTTTGTACAGGGTACAAGTTGGAGCAAGATGTGGACGTCTTTCTTGGTTTTCCTGTTAAAAAGTGTGTCCCCCCAGGACAGCTCATCACCAGTGATCATTAGGGGCTTCGAAGATCAGGAAATGAGGCAGACTCAAGAGTGAATCTTTGTTGCTATTTTAAATAGCTTAATTTTTAAATGTAATGTAAATATAATAAGGGTAGGTGGTAGGCAAGGCCCTAGACAATACGGACAAAGTCCTGAAGAAACCAATGTATCTGGTTATGTGTCATTTCCCAAAGACTTCTGAGATAAAAGAATCTGCAGTCTTCTACTCCCTTGGATCTGATGCTGTGATAAATTGCCAGAAAGTTACACATTAAGGATAAAATGGCTACACCAGGGCAGAGTCATTACAGAAAGAAGAACCTAATTTGTTTCATTCTTAGTTTCTTCTCACAAAACATCATTTTGTCTTTTTTGTAGCGGAAAAGGAAGAACAATGAACACAAGTAATTCAATTAGATAGGTTAAATCAATTGGATAAATTCAATCAATTGGATTAGTTCAATTAGACTAACACAAGTCCAGGTACTCTATATTTATATATTCCATGAAATTAAGTATTACTAATGCAGAAATATCTAATTTATGTCAATCCCTCTGTTCTGGCCAGAAGTTCAATTGTATTCACTGTCAGATAAATCTCTTCAGCTGAAACATCATTTTAAGCCCTAGATCTGTGGCTGCTTGTATATCTCCAGCTCACATACAGGTACACTTGGGTGATAGACCTTCCTTGACAGCAAAACTGGTGCAAGAAGTTACTTATTCCTACTCTCACTTTGCTTTCAGCTGTGCTGCCGTGACCGTCAGTGAGGCCAGCCTGTAAACTGGGCAATTAAAATACCTCCAGAGTCACCTAGCTCTGGAGAGGAGAAACACTCTGCAGAATCAAGTCTTACAAAGGTATAAAGCGGTTCTTGTGATACTTGATTCTTGGTTTGCACACACCTTGTTTCTCAAGACAGCTGGGCAACTGTATTAAAAATGAAAACAGAATGACTTTAGCCTGGAAATAAAACGCATAAAAGAAAGCCTTATCATAGCTGTTGCAATGAGAAAAATACAGAACACTGGAAATCATTTACAGTGAATGCACATTTCATTGAACTTGTATTGTGACACCTACCTACTAAAAGAGAAGCTGTCAGCAGTTTAGGATCATAAGGACTTTTTCCTCTGCCATTTTCAAAATGTGACTCGTCCATTCTAAAAATGTTGTCCTGTGGGGTGGAAAAAGAGAAAGAAAAAGCTACATTATTTGATCAAGGAAAACTAAAAATAAGTTGAACTAAATAGCGTGCAGTATGTAGGATTCATCCTAGGTTTTGTGGCTTCAGAGAAGTCAAATTACACTAGGTGAAGATCTGGCAAAGTACCCACCTAATCAGTATCGTGCGAGTCAAAAGTACAAATACACATGCACAGCTCGTGTCTCATCTGTTTACTCCACATACAATTTACATGGTTTCGTTGAATTTGCTTCCGCTGAGTATATGTCTGAGTAATAGTAACTGAAGAAGCTGGAATTTGAAACTTCTGTCTGCAAAAAGACAAAACCTGTTCTTCTCTGACTGTACTTTTCTACCTGTGCTAACCTGAGTATTTAGTGACTTACTGTTTCATATATCCTCAGATTCAATTCTAACTGCATTAGGAGAGGGTATTTTTTTATTCTTCAATACTATGCAATGAAACTTTTAAAATATACAGGGTGATGGCAAAGCGTATGGGGATATAAACCTAGATTAAAAAGGGCCTCATTCAAATCTGACTCAAATCAAGGTTAGTAAATCCAAAGCAATGGGCTTTTCAGTATGTTTAATTACTTTAACTGGAGAATCAAATCTGCCAAGCAATTTGAATAGTGTGTTTGTCTTATGTTTTTCACTGAAGGTAAAACCAGAAGAATAGATGATTTTTGCACACTAGACTTCTACATTGACAAACAACTTGTGGAGGTCACACCAAAAACTGAAAATTCCATTTCCCACCTGCACTGTGGTTAATTTACATTGACACCTAAGTAAGTCAAGAAGCCCCAAAGCTTGGACAACCCCTACCCCCAGCAGTTTCTGTGGTTACTTAGGCCTTTGTTCTCCATTCTCAGTTGCTTATATCTAAACATTCTCTGTGAGGTAAATGCTGAAGCACTTCCTTTAAACAATATTTGCAGGAGTAGCTTAGTCTGTAATAGGAATTACAACTTGATACAGTCTCTTTTCTTTCTTACTGGTGATTCAGAGATCAGTCATCTGTTTTAAGAAAATAAATAAAAAATAAATATCTAAATATATATATCTAAACTATATGTGCTGAGAGTAGAAAGCAACTAAGAAGATATTACAACATTTTGCTCTATTTATTTCATAACAGATCAGTTCTTTATCTTGATTCTCAAGCACTTACTGCTTTCACAAACTACCTCAAATCCCTCTTTCTTAATCTTATCATCCCTTTCCAAACAGAACCATAGAGCTGCTGCCTGGAATGGCTCTCCAGATATTATTAAGTCCAGGAATACTTGAAAGAAGGCTATCGTCAACACAGGGTATAGTTAGTTTTGGGTTTGTCTTGCCAAGTCATGAAAACTTTCAGGAATGGAAATTTTATAACCTTTCTGGGCAACTTCCATTGCCTCTCGTAGTGAAGAACTTTTTTTTTTCTAAACTGAACCTTCCAAGGAACAAGTTGCGATGTTTTGTCCTTATCATGGCATTTGCAATGATGGTAAAGATGCCAATAGATGGCAAAATCATCCTTTGTAACCATGCTTCAAGCAGTTATAGGCCATTCCTAAGCTGCCCATTCAGCTTCACTTCTCTAGATTGTCTCAGGCTAGAACTTCATGAAAGCTTAACTAGCACGTAAACTCCAGTGTCTTATATTGTCCTGTGCTCGCAAGTAGAAGTCTCATAATTGTGCACAATACTTTCCCCCTCAAGGACAATCTCCAGTTCTCAGTGCTGGAGACTTGGTACTCCACAATGCTGTGGAGGATGCAAAAAATTATCAACATTTCAAATTTTATTCAGCAACTGCTTTGATAATGTTTTTTTAATGTGAAGATCATTCAGACAAATAGCTGATGTCTTTCTCATGAGGAGTGAATTCAAGTATTTGGAAGCAGTGCTCTCTCTGGCACCCTGCCTTCCCCATCTTGTTCATCCATACTGAATTTAGGCATGGACCAGACCAGTCACCAAACATACTTCCAAATGGTGCTATTGAATCCATGTTTCTACAAGTGGGTCACAGGCTACAGTTTTTATTACAGGCTTGTTTCATTACATCATGCAAGCATATATTTGTGTGTGTATTACATATTTTCAAAGGAACATCAGAAGGACTTCACATTTCACTCAATTTACTGGAGAAAAAGGTGAAGGGAAAATAGACTGTTAGCAGAATGGTCTATCTGGAGGGGCTTACTGCACTGTAAGATAAAAAGTTTGGACACAACTTCATGAATTTTGATCCCAGAATGCAAGTTCAGTCTCCTAAGACATATTCTTGTAGATGTAGTCTGCCTGATTATGTTTATACAGTCATCTTGTATCTGTAATATCTTGCACAGTATTAAATTTCTTTCTTTCCCTTTGTCTTTCTTTCTATTTCTTAATAGTCCAGACACATTCTTTGCTTCTGTCCAATTTTCTGTCTTTGCTCCTTCTAACCAGAAACGGATAAATAATGAAAAAGAAAACTGTTTTTGAAATTTTGATGTAGGGTCCATATCTAGATCTTGCACAACAAATAAAAGAAGTAAATTGAGGAGAATGCTAGACCTCAAATACAATAATAGAAAATGGCACTAATGCTACAAGCCATTATTTAAAAATGTTATTATCAGTCTACATTTTCTTGGGATTTCTCCTTAGTAGATGATAATTGCTCAACCTGCACACCAACGGATATTTGATAAGGCTATAAAGTCAATGGCATGACAGTTAAACCAGAATATATTCCCAAGATAATCCCATGTGTCATTGTAAAACAAATAGGAAACAGATGTGGAAAGTGATTTGGTGTAGGAAGGACCTGATTTTCTGACTGTATTCTTCTGGTTTATGTCACTGTAACTCTACTGATATTGGTGTCTAACAGGCAAGAAAGAGTGGAGAACTGGGTCAGAGTAAGTCAGAGATGACCTACCCTTCTCTTCATGTTTGCGGAATAGAACATTTGAAAAAAGAGGCATGACAGGGAAATCTCACAGTGTTTTCATATTTCAGTTAAAATGCAAAGTAGAGGCACGTACAATAAGCTTCCAAATGTATAGGCAAGTAATCATGACAATAAATAAATCACTGTTAAGTGCCAAATAAATGTATCACGGTTAGTCTGAGGCCCCAAGGAGTTTTGATAAACATGCTATAGGAAATCTAACTGGTCACAAACAAGGCAACTTGCCCAAATAGCTTTTTGGGTGCTGAAGTCAAGCTACTTCTACCTACAAACCAACAATAAATACAGGCAACAAAGGAATAAACTCTTTTCTATGTACTTCCCCACCTCCATTTTAAAAACCTAGAAAGCAAAATTACTGATGATAGGTACTTGATTGTACTGGTCACTGGTCTGTGGCATTCGCACCCAAATTCTGCCCTGGGATGCTATGACAGCAAGAGATGAGATGTCAATGTCAATATCTGAGGGTAAAATTTTATCTCTTTATTTTTTATAAAAGCTGTACTTCCTTGTTTTCCAGAGAGCTCACCTCCACATCAGATGGGAAACTCAGGCTATGCTCCTGTTGTTATCAAGTCCTGTCCACCTAACTTACACCTGGAAACCTTTGTGGAGACAGCAGAGAGAGCAAGGGCAGCTCCTGGGTAATAACTCAGGGCCAGAATCCGTCTGCCTGGAGCCAGCAAAGACCTGTGCTCAGAGGCTTAGGGGGAATTTGGATCGTGTGATTCTGGCCTTCTCTTGCACAGTGCAGCTAAGAGATTTCAGCTAGAAAGCATATACATTATATGCTCTTCGAAAATATTCTGATCAGTTTATAATTTTGCTGCATCTTGGATTTTACATTGAATTGAATGCAAAGAATGTAATGAGTCAGCAAATAGCCACAAACAGCAAGAAAAACTGTGTATTCACTAAATGCTCACTGTTTCAAAGTTTTGTGAGGGCTATTATTTGATCAAAGGCAGGAATTCATGACAAAGCAAGCTTGCCAGGCTGGTGGAAATTCTCCAGAAAAGCAAATAAAAAAAAAAAAAAAGAAAAAAAGATACTTAAAGAAAGGCCTTTTTAACTCATCAAGTCTAATTTATTGTCCATAACACTTCTTTAGTTGCACTGGCAGCCGAAAAGGACATTACAATATGTACTTCAAACCTCTTTAAGGATCCTCATCACTAAAAACCTTGCTGTATCATGTTTTATTATGTTGGTGCTGGGTTATTAAACTCTAGTTTTATATCTCATTGATGCTTCTTTATAATCCATAATAAAACTGCTGAAAATGAGAGATTGTTTAGGTCTTGAAATTCCACAAACCCATAATGACAACAACTGACCGCAAGCTGAAGTTACAGTCACACGACTGCTGGCCCATGGTATGGCATGACTTGTGTCACCTAGTAAATGCTCTGCGTGGTGGAAGATTATGCTTCTGATTCCTTAAAACACATTTCCGTGTTGCACATAGTGTGACATATGGCAAGACTCAGCCAGAAAGAACTACAGTTCAGTCCTGAAAATGAATGTAAAAGTTATAATGCTCATTCTTCTGCCATTTCAAGGCTCTAGAGATTCGCTTTCCAATGGCTGAAAGACGGCTGAAATAATGCTCCATATCATGGTACCAAGTGGTGACAAGACATTCCTATCTGACAAGCCTTATTTCGTATCTTACTGTTGAACAGGTTCAGTCAGTCAGTGTACCTATACAATACAATGTCATATATACATATAAATCTATATATACCAACTGTATGCCTGCATATGCATATATGTGAATATATATCCAGTATGATAAGTTTTTAAACCATTTTATGTATCTCTGTCAGCAGCTGGCCCTTCCAGAACTGTCTCAACGAAACAAGGACAAGAAAGATGCAAGCATATGCTGGCTGGTTTTGGCAAAAAAAAAATAGATTTATCCTCTCTACATAGAACTGTTAATTGGGGTGGGCTAAATTTGCTGCCCTAGTCACAGTCAGCAGAAAGCAACAGATTCCTCTGAATGATGAGTCAGACCAACCCAGCACTG